AAGGGGGCCGATTTCGCAATCGCGGACAATTACGGATGGACGCCGGTGAACTCGGCATCAAGGAATGGCCACGTCAAGGTGGTCAAGCTGCTTCTTGAGGAGGGGGCCGACATCACAATCGCGGATAATGATGGGTGGACGCCGGTGCACTCGGCATCAGCCAACGGCCACTTTGAGGTGGTCAAACTGCCTCCTGGGCATGGAACCGACAGCACAGTCGGAAGTCAAGAGGGCACAGACGAGGGGGGTCACTGAACTAGGTGTCACTCCCACCGCCATCCGTCGCACTATCTACATCCTTTCGTCGCCAAGAATATTCATTCCAGAGTGGACGGGCCTTCTAGGTCGCAAATACATCTAATTGCGGTGTACCGCAATGCGCTATACTGTGGAATTGTCGATACAACAGCTAGCTACCTTTACCATCGTCGAGAGGGCCGAAGCGCAACGCCGTGTACAGTGGTCACGTGGTTCCGGAAGTGATTGAGAATGTGCAGCTTGACGTCCGCTTCCCTGCACTTCGGGTGCATGGAGCCGATGTTGCAGAGTTCAGAGCAAGTTAGTTTGGAGCTGTTCAGCACAGTGCAGCTGGCTCCTATCCAATCAGTTATGTCATGAGAATGCAATTGGCCACGGTACAGACTACGTCTGCGGGAGCGGCACACTATCGCCGCGAGGGCCGAAGAGAAACCCCATGTACGTTGTAGACGTGAGTCCGAAAATGATCAAGACTGTGCAACTTAATGTCCTCTTCCCTGCACTTAGAGTGCATGCAGCCGATGAAACCATCGCGGCTCATCTGCTCCATCGTGACTAGATGTTCGCGATCGAAATGATCGTTCATCACGGCCGGCCGACAGTAGGCGAATGTCCTCTCTTCCACGGACATGGCTTCATCACCGATGCAACGGGGACATTGTGCCTTCCGCATGACCAGCGGAAAGCGGCCGGGCTCCGGTGATTGGTCTGGCACGGGGGAAGGGATATCGCCCTGGACCTTCTTAACGATGCGCTTCCGCTTGGCCGTTTCTCGCTTCCCAATAAGAGCAACCATGAGCTCAGCAACTTCGACACGCAGGCGCAAGAAGCCATCGAAATCCAGGTCATCCGCTTGCTGGCACAGCAAGTTCGCCGGTCGCTCACGCTCCGGTACGTGAAGGTCAATCGCTGGTGCTGAATATGCTTCGTCGACCTGATCATCTCCCACAAGCTGCTGTTCAATCTCCCACGTGGGGCGATGGTAAAAGTAGTACTGCCGATAGTATTCCCGAATACTCCTTTCGCGTTGCGCCTTCTTCATTCGGATCGTCTTTGTAAGCTCTCGCACTTTGTCTTCGTGTTTGGTGCCTCGAATCCGATAACGCCCGTCTTCAACTTGTCCCTTTGAGCTTCCAGGTCCGAGATCTCGGGATCGGGTTCTAGACTTTGCCAGATCTCGTCGGGAACCATATCTTGCCTCGCTTCCGGGTCACGCGTCAAGCTCATGTGCGTGAAGAGGTCGATCAGACAATCATCTGTTGGCTCGCCAGCGACAACTCTCTCGAGGTGGAATTCGACCTTCTCGTTGATATAGGCGCCATTGAATGTGGCCCATCTCGGATCATGGCGCATCATCTGGTCGCGCACAGCATCGGATGCGTTGCCTGCGAACAATGATTCCTGCTTTAGAACATGTCCCAGGTCATGGTGGCAACAGAAAACGTACCGTCCGTAGCGTTGGCAGCGCCTCTGCGAAATGCCTTCGGCCCTAGCGCTTTCTCAAACCCGGCTTCAAGAGTCTCTCCTCATTTTCTCGCCAAAGAAGAGCCATGTACGCACCACGTTCGCATACGAGATCCCGCGATGAGTATCGGTACTGCCAAAAGTAAAAGACATCTGGGGTCAATGTCTACAGACGCTTGACGGCCATGGCGACCGGGTCTGGTCAGTCGCCTTCTCACACGACTCGGCGCTTGTGGTATCAGGCCCCGGCGACAAAACAATCCGGGTTTGGCGCACGACTACGGGCGAGTGCGTACAGAGACTTGAGGGCCATGACTCTGTTGCGCCTGCAGGTCGCCCGCATGAGATCCGTGTGCTCCTCGGGCATGTGGTCAAGATGCGGTATTTGACTAACAAACACTGGATGATGCATTGTCGCTGCGTATCGTACTTACATGCTGATGGTCAAAGCCCACGAAGTACGGATGCGCATTGCTAGACTATTTATGTCCTGGCGAAAGTTGCCCGCTTGCGTCCATGGCATTTGGCATGGCAGGCGAGTGCTTGGGCGCCCAATGCGCTGCACAAAAGTCGACTATTTCGTCCAACTGCGAGGGCTTACGCTGACCATCAGGATGATGAGATCAGGACGCCAGCTAGAACTGATGCTCGACAAGTTGAATCAATATTTCGCAGCCCAAGTGGGAGCGCCGCACGCCTCTCATGCTGGACCTCGGCTTCATACCGCCACGCCCTACACCACCAGCGAACCTATTCAAGATGCCTATTCCTGTGACGAACGGCCTTCACCCAGTTACAAACAAAAATGCAACAGAATGCTATAACGATAAGCGAGACGGCAATGAGGGGCCCCAGAATAGAAAAGATCGTGAAGCCGTACGATGCAGCTTGGAAGGCATCATTGCGGCCGAGGGAATCCGTTGCGAGCCCGACCTGCATTGCGGTCAAGACAATAACGATGTAGAGCGATGCGCTAGCCAGCCAGGCAAAATTGTCATGAAAGAAAGCGCCGTACTGATTCCAGTGGCGCACGTAGCCACGCAGCGGGGTCTGCGTGAAGGTGTATATCTTGTTCAGTCGGCTCAGACGAAGCTCGCCGTAGTGGAACCGGGGGTCAACACGCGCAGAGACGTGCTCCGTATCCAGCTGCTCGACGAATATCCTCCACGCGGGCCATGCGACCTCCGGCGGAAGGAGGTGCTTATCCTGGGCGATGCGGAAGTCACTCTCATGGCATATGAGCGCTGCATAGGAGGCGAGGAAGCCAAGCGCGCGCCGTCGGAGGCCTTGGCACTCACATTTCCCCGTGGCGCCGCAGACGACAACATCCACGTCACGAAATCCACAGCCACCTCTGCAACAGAGATATTCAGCCCAGAAGCTGGGCTCCAGAAGGAAGCGCGGGATCGGCTTGAGGAAGATCTGACCTGTCGTCCAGACGAGATGCATGTCCATCCGCTCCGTGACAAAGATTCCTCGGCCTAGCAGGAGCTGGTTGTGCAACGCCCGTGGCGGCAAGGGCAAGCCCGCGACCCAGAGCCAGTCGTGGATGCGGGTAAGCCGCTCCAGGTGGAGCTCCTTCGCAACACAGGCCGTGATATGACGACCAACGGCAGCTAATTCACCAGAATCTTTGCGGTACGACGCTGGTAACAGCGATAGGAGTTGGTCGCGATCGCGTCGGGACGCGTTGGCGTCATATTCGTGGCCGTGGTTGAGGAGCCCAATGTAGAATGGAGGTACCTATCACCAGAAGCGTTAGCTGATAAGAGGTCGACGGATAATACGACGAGCGCGTACCAAGCATTGCCGACTTCCAGTTTCGCATCCGCATTGCTGAATGTTCGTCATTGTCTATTGAGGCAAGAGCTGCTCCTTTGCTTGTAGTCAGAGTGAGGGACACACGGAACCGTCCATCTCAGACGGTTGCTGCTGCCGTTCGGCATGGCGATAGTACATGCACGACGATAGGGTATGAGGAAATCTGGGAACGCCGCACAAGGCGGGAAACTGAAGACACAGCCAGCGCGACGCCGCACCGACCATTGCCGCTGCTGCCCTCAGTTCCGACCTTGACCGACGGGGCCTACTGCGTCTCTCAGAGCGCCATCTGCTATTTTCGGCGCGGGGAAGTGCTGGACAAGATGTCATACATCTTGCCGCCGGAGCTGGCAGCGAGCGTGGTTGGCTGTCAGGGCCTTGCACAAGCGCCGTGGCGCAGCGCGTAGGGGACGCCAAGGTGTCGTGTGCGGAGTCGCAGCGCCGCAAATATGGGCCTTCACCCTGCCCGAAAGGGGCGTATTTGGCGCTGCGCGACCACGGTGGTGACAATGGCCAGGAATGCGCTGTTGCCCACAGGTGGCAACCAGTGCGGATATGTGGAGTGGATTGGCCCGAGTGCCGTGCATTCAGGCATCCGCTCAAATTCGTCTCTGGTTGGTTAGGATAAGTGGCCTCGCCTCGACTGCGCGGAGGGCACTCACTCCTTCGTCCAACATTTCCCAAATCGTGGCAACGGTTGCGCACTGGATGTCACCTTACTTCCGTGCGTTCTCAAGCTACTCGCTGTCGGGTTGCCATGGCATCGACGTGGACAGTTCTCATTGACGTTATCATTGACAGGGTGGACCAAAAGTACGCCGTACTGACATTGGCTGTCGTACTACTTACCACGGCACTCCGTCCCCTTATCGTCAAGGCCCGTCGACGCAGTTACAGCCCGCGCTCTGGGACACTCCGAATCCTGTTGGCCGTGGCTGTCGTACTGCTTGCTACGGTACTTCCTTTACTCCGTACCTTTTTCGTCCACAAGATCCGTCGACGCAGGCACAGCCCGCGCTCTGGGACTCTCCGAATTCTGTCCGACCCTGGGGGTGCTAAGTTCGAGTTTGTTAATTCCGCTCACTCCAGCTTAAACCCTCCTTGACTAATTTGTAGCATCGTTGCCGTCCATGGACTCGGCGCCGATCCAGAGCACACGTGGACTCATGCCGCGCCAACAGAACCGGCTGGTAGGAGCCAAGAACCGACAGCCGCCGACCATGGACCTGCACATCATCCGAGGATTCACCTGCTTCGAGACTTACTCCGCCTGGACTTCCCAGACGCCAGAATTCTGAGTTTTGAGCACAACTCCAGCTGGCTGACGGATGCACCCGTCAAAACATCCGAGGAGATCGGCAAAAGCCTGTTAAGAGAGATAAGGGATAAGCGATCAGAACCTGTATTGACCACGTCGCCTTTCACCGGACGGCGCTGACACTCGCCCTAGCATCTTCCCATCATCTTCATTGGACACAGCTTAGGTGGCGTCATCATCAAGCATGTACGACGGCTCGCGCCGAAACGCTAGCTTCCGGTTTCTAACATTTGCAAGGCGTTATGCGGACAAGATGCCGAAGAAACCGTTGATGATACCTCTGGTATCATCTTCCTGGGCACCCCCCATCTTGGCTCGTCCGCGTCGGTCGCTGGTGCCATCTTGGCCTTCGCGACTCGACTGCTCGGGTCCGACACGACGTTGCTCCTGTCTCTGAAGAGCCATGATGCGCAGCTCAGCAACCTCGCGGCCAGGTTTCGGTCGGTCGTGGTCCAAAATGAAAGACGAGGGCAGGAGACTAGGATCATCTCCTTCTACGAGACGAAGCCCACGTATCTGCTTGGGTGGCTCTCTCTAGGTCGGGTGAGTGCGCACGGTCCTGAGTCAATCGTCGTCTAATGTGTCTCGAGGTGGTGGCGCGGGACTCAGCAGTTGTCCACGCGGATGAAGAACACGACATCGACAGCGATCACAGCGGGCTCAATAAGTGTGCCGGGCGAGGCGACGAGCTATATCAGAAGCTAAAAAAGGCAGTAGACGACCTGAGAGTCCCATCACTGCTAGAACAAGCCGACAAACTTATTTGCGACAAACACTACACGGAAAGCAAGCTAAGGATTGAGCGACTCTCGGGCGACCAGTTGCCGATGGATCAGTGCTACATAAACCTTGCCATGGTGGAGAAGTTTGGCCCGGATGCAGACCGCTCAGACCAACGGGACGCAAACCTGTCCCCGTTTACTCTACTGTCTCGGCAGAAGGCTGAGACGCCCTCCAACGTGAGTCAGGTTGAGCTAGCGACGCTGTTCAGCCCACGCACAGGACGCTCTGGTGGCACGATCAAGCCAAGACGAATCTTGATCCGAGGCCGCGCAGGGGTTGGCAAGACAACCTTGTGCAAAAAAATTGTCCACGAGTTTACGAGACACACATGGAGCGAATGGACGAAGCTATTCGACCGCGTGCTTTGGGTGCCTTTGCGGAATCTGAAATTGCCAGAGAGAGCCAAGATAGCGGGGTATAATTTTGAACATCTCTTCAATCATGAGTATTTCTCTCTACACAACAAACCTCGGCTCGCCACAGTATTGCTCGACGCACTTAAGGCCGACAGCAGCAAGACTCTATTTCTACTCGACGGCTTGGACGAGCTATCCCAGGACCTGACTGGCCACGGCAGCATACCCAACTTCCTAGCTGAGCTTCTACAACAGCGGAATGTGATCATCACCTCCCGACCCAACGCCAATCACCCAGCTCTCCAAGATCTTGACCTCGAATTAGAAACGATAGCATTCTCTCCAAAGCAGGTGAACGCCTACCTGGACGCTGATCCCAATATGATGCCAAGAGCCAACGAGGTCAAGTCCTTTCTTCAGCATCATCGGCTCATTCAGGGTCTAGTGCGCATCCCCATTCAATTGGACGCTCTTTGTTACGCCTGGGAAGACCTCAAGCGTACAACATTGCCGAACACCATGACCCGAATATACCAAGCGATCGAGCAAAAGCTGTGGAAGAAGGACGCCGTGCGATTGAACAAAATATCAGAGGGTGATGCTCAAATCGCTCGACCGGCCGAGATCAAGCTCCGAGTCAAGACCGAGATAGCGCTTCTTGAATGCTTTGCATTTAATGGCCTGCACAGCGACGTGATAGACTTCACGCCAGACCATCGAGACAAACTTGTCGAGATGTCCCAATTGTCGGATCTGCCACTTGACGAGACCCTTGCGCGGCTCTCTTTTCTACGGACATCAGACCCTTCAACAAGGCTTGAAGACCGAAACTACCACTTTCTACACCTGACCTTTCAGGAGTTTTTCGCGGCGCGGTACTTCGTCAAGCAGTGGAAGGATGGCAAACCACTCGCGTACGTCTTCAATCAGCGCAACGGTGCCGAAGCAAATGTTCCTGGCAGCCCAACCGAATTTCTTCAGATATATAAATATTCACCATACTACGACGTCTTTTGGCGTTTTGTAGCTGGGTTGCTCGAGGCAGAAGGGGAGAATGAGATACTCCGCTTCTTTAACGCAATCGAAGACGAACCGTTCGATCTTTTGGGTCCCACACATCAACGGCTGGTCATGCATTGCTTGAGCGAAGTGGCGGAGTTGCCAATTCGTTCGAGCCTAGAGGCAAGACTATCACAATGGCTACTCTTTGAATGTGACTTGACAGGAACCTCATTCTTGGCGACGGAATCGGAGCTTCCAGTCGGAGCTCTACAGTGTGCCCTGCAACATACTTCCGGCCGCGAAAGGTTTCAAATTCTGGCAGCACTGTCATCTTCTGGTAGACACTATTCAGAAGCGACGGTGGCTGCGCTGGCGCCGCTGCTCAAGGATGAGGACGACAACGTCCGCCTCCGTGCTGCTGAGGTCTTAGAAAAGCAGTCGAAGCTGCCAGAGACGGCGCTGTCGGCGCTAGGGGCGCTGCTCGAAGACGAGGAGTGGACTGTCCGCATCCGCGCCGCCGAGATCTTAGAAAAGCAGTCGAATCTACCAGAGGCGACATTATCGGCGCGAGGGGCACTGCTCAAGGACGAGGACGAGGACATCTGCCTCCGTGCCCCTGCGCTCTTAGAAAAACAGTCGAACCTACCAGAGGCAACGCTGGCGGCGCCGGAGGCACTGGCGGCGCTGGAGGCCCTGACACCGCCGCGCATGAACATGAAGGTGATTGCCCGCTCGCACGCCACCGAGACCTTCTTGTGGAGGTTGTGGCTACTGCTGGCGGTGCTGTTCGCGGTGGAGATGCTCAAGAGCATGGAGTACACTGTCCCCCACCTCGTCCCCGAGGTGGAGGCGCTGTTGGCGCTGTCAGCGCTGGTGGCGCTGGTGGCGCTGGCGGAGCTGGAAGCCCTGGCGAAGCTGGAGGCCTTGACGGCGCCGCGCAAGAACATGGATGTGATTGCCGCCGAGACCTTATTGAGGCAGTCGAAGCTACCGCTGGCGGCGCTGTTGGCGTTGGTGGCGATGCTCAAGAGCAGGATGTACACTTTTCTCTACTCCGGTGTCCCTGACTTCGTCCCCGAGATCTTGGAAAGCCAGTCGAAGCTACCAGAGGCGGCGCTGTCGGCGCTTGTAGCGCTGCTCAAGGACGAGGAGGAGATTGTTCGCTTTCGTGGCGCCAAGGTTTTAAAAAAACGGTCGAAGCTACCAGAGGCGACGCTGGCGATGCTAGAGACGCTGCTCAAGGACGAGGACAAGGATGTCCGCCTCCGCGCTATCGAGATTTTAGAAACGCAGTCGAGGCTATCAGAGGCGACACTATCGGCGCTAGGGGCGCTACTCAAGGACGAAGACGAGGACGTCCGCCTCCGTGCTGTCGAGGTCTTACAAAGGCAGACGAAGCTACCAGAGGCGACGCTGGCGACGCTAGAGACGCTGCTCAAGGACGAGGACAAGGGCGCCCGCCTCCTCGCCACCGAGATCTTAGAAAAGCAGTCGAATCTACCAGAGGCGATGCGGTCGGCGCTAAGGGCGCTGCTCAAAGACGAGGACGAGGACGTCCGCCTCCGCGCCGCCGAGGTCTTGAAAATGCAGTCGAAGCTACCAGAGGCGACGGTATCGGCGTTGGGGTCGCTGCTCAAGGACGAGGTCGAGGACGTCCGCCTTCGCGCCGCCGAGATCTTAGAAAAGCAGACGAAGCTGCCGGAGACGGCGCTGTCGGCGCTAGGGGCGCTGCTCGAAGACGAGGAGTGGACTGTCCGCATCCGCGCCGCCGAGGGCTCAGGAAAGCAATCGAAGCTACCAGATGCAGCGACAGGGACGCTGGCGACGCTGTTGGCGCTATTGACGCTGCTCAATGACGAGGAGTGGACTGTCCGCTTGCGCGCCATCGGGGCCTTGGGGGCGCCGTCGAAGCTACTAGAGGCGTCGGCGCTGGGAGCGCTGCTCAAGGGTGAGGACGAGGAGATACGCTTCTGTGCCGCCATGGACTTACCAGAGGCGACGCTGTCGGCGCTGGTGGCGCTGGTCACAGACGAGGAGTGGAACATCTATTTGCGCGCCGCCGAGATATTTGAAATGCGGTCGAAGCTGCCAGGGGCGACGCTGTCGGCGCTGGGGGCGGCGCTGCTCAAGGACGAGGAGAGGGTCGTCCGCTTGAGCGCCGTCGGGGCCTTAGGAAGGCAGTCGAGGTTACCAGAGGCGACTGTGTCGGCGCTGGTGACGCTGCTCAAGGACGAGGGCGAGAGGGTTCGCTCGCGCGCCGCCATGGCCTTAGGGAAGCAGTCGAAGCTACCAGAGGCGACGGTGTCAGCGCTGGTGGCGCTGCTCAAAGACGAGGAGTGGACCGTCCGCTCCCTCGCCGACCGGGCGTTAGCAGGCCAGTCGGACCTGCCAGAGAAGTTCCTCAAATCTATCGGCTCGTTGCTGGAATCTGAAAACCAGGGTGAGATTACTGCCTCTGCTATTTGCATTCCCGAATATGCGAGATTGTTATATCAGAGTTTGTTACGGCGGAGTTTTCGGGAACAATGTAGTTTGCACATTGGTAACGACTCGTGCAGTTTCAACCAGCCAGATGGATTGCGAGCAGTTTCTTTCGAGCATAACCGGCCCGATCGAATCCTGGACGCAATCAGAAAGCACTGCCACTGGTGGAATGCTCACAGCTACACGCTCTGGGATCGTTGCGATGGAGAGGCTGTTCGCCAAGCGCTAAGTACGATGTAGTTAATTTTCTAGCTTTAACTTATAGTCGCGCGGGCCAGCGGGCCATGTTCTGCTTCATCATCGTTGTTAAGCTAGGCCATTATGCGCGTTTGGCTCCGTGCTGTTGCGTTACCATTCAATCTCGTGCTGAACGTACCAGAGCTTGCCAGAGCGCGCAGCGCAGGGCGGCCCAGGCGAAAGGTCAATATTGGTATAATCACACGCCATACACGAAAGAAAAAACGCAAGAAAACCCCTACCAGGAAAGAAAAAGCAAAATAAAGCAAAGGACTGAGGCGAGGAGGGGAGGAGGGTCTCGAGCTCTGCTGATCGCGGTCATGCCGACTACGCCGACCGCGGACGCAGGCAATCCGTATGGCTCTCCTGCTGTCGTGATAGAGAAGAAGCGAGTCACAGAGCTGATGGCCGGATACATACCCGCACAGTCCCTGAGCTCACCGTGTGTGGCCCAGGTGATCGACATGATGCGTGACTTCTCTATTGCACATTTTGCCTGTCACGGTTCGACGGACCATGTAGATCCGTCCAACAGCTGCTTGATCTTGCGGAGACAAAATGAGCAGGGCTGAAGCAAGACTTGCTGACGGTGTGGCTTTGTCAGAGCTGAGCCGGCCTGATGACCGCATAGCATATACGTCAGCTTGCTCGACATCGGGAAACAAGGCGACGCAGCTGTCGAAGAGGGTGATCCAAGTGGTGGGTGGATTCAAGATAGCCGCGTTCCCGCATGTGGTTGGATCCGTGGCCGTCAAGCGACAGGTGTTGCGTCGAACTTGTAGGCGGGTTCTATTCGTCACTGCTGGGCCGGAGAGTTAGGCCGGGCAAACGGTGGTAGGTACTGTGCGGGAGGCGGTGATGGCGGTGTGAGAGTCAGACGTGGGCGCCACTTGTGTGAGCGCATTTCGACTGGTGCAACGAAGGGGCGGAGGTAGGTATATACCTGCATGGATCTTATCGCGGCCACAGGGTTGCACTCGAAGAAGGTACACACTTTCGCCAGCCTCATACGGCGTCCCGCTGACCACCTTCGATCCACGCACTACGGCCCAATGCAGCAGCGTCTTGTGCCATTGCTGCTGCGGCAGAGAAAATGGCGTATGCTATGCCTGTTTACGTTCTTTCAACTTCGTGGAGTACCGCACCTGAAGCGAAACTTTCGACCGCCCTGGATACCGCTCTGTGTGCCGTCGATGGATCTCCGTCCATGGAAGCTGAAGCTTTTCCTTTAAGCGGACGATGGAATCGTCCTCGTCCGGTGTAAATTTGCCCTGCGCGCCGCCATTCTGCCTCTGTGGAGCAGAACGGTCGGCGCTACGCGGGACATGCGTGGGGGTTTTTGCCTCAAGGCCGCCATGCGTGGCGCACAGGTTCCAGTCAAACTGCAACTGGAAAGTCGCCACGCCGTTCACCATAATGCGTTTGAGTAGGGCATTCTCCAATGCCCACTCCTCAAACTCTGCAACTTTGGAGACGTAATCTGCATCATTTTCTGTAGAGTTTGATGCTGGCGGAGAGGCCAAAGTCCTAGTGGGAGGTTCCACTCTGCGGCGCTTGCGCGGCCGTTTCATGGCGTCTGCGTGCTCCTCGGTGCAGCGGTGCCCATGGCGCGGTGTTTGGTCAGACAAAACAATGGATGGTGCATCGCCGCTGCGTATCGTACTTCCGTGCTGATAGCTGGAGGTCCCGAAGTACAGAGTATTGGCTGGCCATTCTTCTCCCGATGAATGCTGCCCGCTCGTCTCAACATCAATTTGGCAACGTTTCTCTTCAGCCACCGTCGCCAACGAGAGGTTACTGGCTGCGTCATCGACCCCACATCCATACAGCCCACCGCCAAACGTCTCCAGAGAGCAGATGCTCTGACTTGAGCCGCTTGCCCTGGGTACCTCGGTCGGTGTATCTGTTTCCCCTCGATGGCAAGCCGTGAGGGCGGGATCGACCGGACACGAGACGCAACAGTAGTCATGCGACACATGGCTCTCGTGAGGGGTATGTGATAAAGGCGGAGTTGTCGGTGATGTTGTTGGGAACACATGGTGCAGGCCGCTTGTTGACGAGGTTAAGCAGTTCGCATTAGCAACGTCGTCTCCGTCGCAAGTCTGCTCCGTCGATGATGCGAGCAGACCACAGCCCTTGTCCGCGCGTGTCCCATCACCAGCCGGTAGGGTCTCGACAGCTTCTGTGACCTTATTAGTCTCCATCCAGTCGGCGCCGGCAGGGTAGCTTACCAGGACTACTCTTGCTTTTCGGCTGTTCCTTGTTGATAGATTCGATGGGCTGACCCAGAAGTGGCAGTGTGTTGTCCGATTCCGACACCACTAGATCGACGTTGGGTCTTTCATCTCGCCCGCTAATGACACACAGACTCAAGTCGGGGTCAGAAGATATGCGAGGCGGCTTATTGGGGGACAGCGAAGCAACAATGACAGCGGGCAAGCCAGGTTGCACTGCAACCGCCTCATCGTATGTGCCTCTTGCATCGGATAACGGCGTTGGTCGCGCCGAGCCGGGCACTTGTCGCCTTGCCGCCCTACTACAGCCGTTCAATGCGAATTGAGGCGTCCAAGGCACCTGATAGTCAAGGTTGACAGGTGCCATATTCCGGCGGATCGCTTGGCACAGGAACGGTGCGATAGGAGCAGAGGGACACGTTGGTACGGAGGCAAAGAGGAGATAGCAGGTGTGATTGTTCGACAAGCGCTTCACAAGCATCTGCTGCTGAAAGGTATGCGGAATTAACCTTGGTTATTGGCAGCCAGGCGGTCAGACTCCTTTTATACCCAGCCCGTTGTCCATTTGCCCTTCCCGCCGCACTCTGTCAGGCGATGGTAAGCGGCTGACGCCGCGCCAGCAACAGAGCGCATACTGAAGAAGTTCCGCTGCGCCCCTCACCCTTCCACCGTCTTCGTTCCGAGTTCAGTGTCGGGCAACGTCCGATGTCATGCAATGGCGAAACGGAGGAGCGATGCCATTTCGGGCACGCTAGATGTCCGAGTCGCCGCTTCGGCTTGTCGGGGTCGAGTCGAGGGAGTATGGGAGCCGCGCTGCGTCGTGTCCTCACGTCTTGTCGGCCGACATCTGCGCTGAGCTGAGCCACCTGATTGCGTGGCGATATCATGATTGGATCGCAGGAGATGAATCCTTGGCAGGCGCGGCAACAAATTGCCTTGCACATTGTCAGAGCCCGTCAGCAAGCCCATGCGCTCGGCCTGCCTGAGCACCAGCCAGGGATCCCATGCATCCGCCCACTCCACAACCGGTTTCAGCTCGACTCGAAATGATGCCACTAGTCGAGAAGGATGCCGTTGGAGGCCTCCCGAGCTGCATGCCTCGGTCGCGAACGGCGTCGTTCGTGAGACGCACTGCTGAGAAAGGCGGTCTCGCTTCCTTCGCGGTTGATGTGCAATCCAAACGAGGTTCCTAAGCAGGTACCTGGTATGGTGGCCAGAGCCGCCTCAGACAGCCCGGGCAAGTATGTGAGCAGCGCTCATCGGTCCCATCCAGGGCGAAAGGCGGCCACGTAATCCATGGTTGCCAGAAACGCACGGTCGGCGGTCGTAAGAAGCGGCCGATCGAACACGAAGCGCAGGATGGCACCGGCCGGGGTGACGACGGTGGTCCTGTCGTACGAGGTCAGGAAGGAAATCGCGCACGCAGATATGCGGCAAGAGGGGATGGACGGGCGCACAGGACAGTGTGGTAGGGCGTGTGAATGAGAAAGGGAGACAGTTGAGGGCAGAAGACGAGTGGTTGGGGGAGGGGGGATTTATAGGTGGCGGCAAAAGCGGCGTGGCGCCAACAGGGGAATGGCGCGGGGCGCCAAACCCGGCGGGGCAGGCCGCGTCACTGAGATTATAAATTATATATCTCTTAACTTTAAATCGGATATTATAGCGTAAAATAGTTAGTCTTATATATATTATTAAAGCTAAGAACGTCCGGAAATTTCTTCTATATTATATAGTACTAATCGTAAGTCTAAAAGACAGTATAGATATAGTCCTCTTTATCGCGTAAGGTTCTAACTTTAATACTACCGCTCTTAAGCTCCTTAACGAAATCTTAGGTAGCTATAAGGCCGTTAAGTCGCTTGCGCTCGATGCTCTAACGATCGTTATAAGTATCTTATACGCGGAAATAATCATGACTAGGCCTGTCGGCTTTCTTACTAATGCTAGTCACCTCCCGGTCTCGTAAGCCCTAATGTAATTCTCATTAGCTAGCTGTCGCTCCTTTTATTGCTATATAAGCGTGCGGGGGCGATAGACGTTACGTACTGATGCGTTAAGAAACTGACCGTAATTATACTAACCTTCGACTAGTAGTAAGGTATTAAGTCTACGTAACCCAGAGGACAAGTAGTTTAATATAACTAGTAGAGTTCGAAAATATGTATATATGCGAACCAGATTTGCGTCTTCTGTCAATATCAACTGGCTACGTTAATAACACTTATAGCCTTCAGGCAACCCTGCTTCTGCCTACTATGTCTCAGATGCCTGCCTCAATCAACACAGGTATAGAATACCGACTAATTCAATCGTTAGATAGAAGAACCAAGAGTCTGTCGTTGCCCAAATCCCTGGGGACCTTCTGCCCGGCCGTCAGTTAGTCATGCACACGTGCAGTGCGACACCTTCAACTGGGCTCACGAAATCTGCCTTTAGCGGCCACTTGAGTTCTGGTGCCGGGCTCGGAGCTGGGGAGAAGGGTTGGGGTCGCACGCCGTCGCCGGACTGTTACACCGAGCGTGTTGAAGAGATGAGAAGCAGCCACTTCGCACACTTGCCATCATGGCTCCGCTCGTTCTAGAAGACTCGGCTCTATCGGGTGGGCCGGGCCCGTCGACGACTTAACTTTAGTATTATCTCTGCGAACTGCCTGTTGGCAAGCTGGTCGGACTGATTCACGCCGAGACCCAATTGTTCTGCTGCATGCCTGCTCTGATCGAGACTCGGACTTAACGACTGCCTTGACATTGCGACCTAACCAACACACACATACCCCATATGGTAGCCTAAGCGGTACATACTATGAATACCATTCTTATCGCTGAGCTTGCCTTTAGGATCAAGTAGCACCGTTAATCCCGAAAACTTCCGATGGACTCTGGATCAATGGCATTGTATCTGACTATGTACTAATATTTACTGCTGAGATGAGGAGCAGTGAACCACCCACCATTGAAAGTAAGTCAGCCGGCTACACATCCACCCCAATGTTTGAAAAACAGCCGAGAACTTTATAGGGTCTTTGTACGAAGTCACCTATCGTAACTCCACCGCTTCAGTCCAGGTGCAGGCCTCAGACCAGAACAGCCATGCCCTGTGCTCGCTGTCCAGCCATGCCTCGCAGCCCGAAATGCTGTACCATCTTAGTAGACCCAGCCAAGTCGATCACGGTCACGGCACCTTCGATCGTGCCGTTGCCTGGTGATAATGCGTAAAGAAACTGGCCCGCCGCCCGCAGGTCGATCAGGCCAGGGTCACCAGTGGCGGACAAGTCTATCTCGGACATGATACTGGCATCTTTCAGACTCATCTCAACCAGGCGGTTCACGGCCACGTCTGTTACAAAGGCCGTGCCCGTGGTGGAGGAAATAGTCACCCAGCACGTCGCAACTTGCCCTTCGATCGGGGATTTGGCGACAGTGGTGGCCGCGCGACTGGTCTGGTTGATGGACAGAACCATGGCGCCGAACGAGGCGTCTGTGGCAAACACGTTGGACGTGCCAGGGATGGTCTGTGAGCCGAAGAGAACGGCGCTTCCCTCGGGCACGCTCCGAGTGTCTGTTTTGGAGAGGGTCGCGGATCCAACGCCGCCGCGGCATGCGGCCTTTCGCTCGACCGGGAATGTGGAAAAGAAGCCAGTCTTATTGGTAGCTGGGTCGCCCTTCACAATACAGAACAACTGTGATTCGTCGGCAGAGAAGAAAACCTGCGATACGGTGTTGGTCGGTCCGACGGGCGGAGTGGTCTGGCCAAGGTCGAAAACCCGGAGATCATCCATCGGCCTCAATCCAGCGTCCGAGAACGAGGTGCAGGAGATGCCGCTCTTGGATCCCGTTGTCCCCACACAGACAAGGCCGTTCTTGGCCGAAGCCGCGACAGTGTTCGGGAAGTCTCCGGGAATCGCTACTGGTTGTCCTACCAGTGAAAGCTTTGTTGGGTCCGCAGAAGAGATGGCAAGCATAGAAAGTGTATTAGACCCAGCATTGACGGCGAAAATGTGCTTTGTAGGGCAGGGCCGTCAGTACGAGACCTTTGTAACGCGTCCATGGTCATTGTCTTACCTTTCCCGCTATTGTCAACGCGGACTGGCTCACAAGGGCATCTGGAGTACCTGGATTTCCGTCACTGTGCAGGGCCACAGAGCCATTGCCTTGTGTGCTGGTCACCGTGCCCTTACTGAGTTTTCCGTCGCTGCCAACTGGGAGAGCCACAACCCCGTTGGTCTCATCGTTGGTGATCATGTAGATGGCCTTTGCCGCTGCCCGGCCTCTGCAGCTCCCATCCTGGCCGTTGGGTTGGCTGGAGACACCATGGCCTAGCACGACAAGCGCCTGAAGCACAAAATGAAGAGAGAGTTGGCGCATTGTTCGTAGCGAATCGTGTCGGTTGGCGCAAAACTATGTTGAAATGCTGTAAATGAACGGTAATTGAGCACACGAGTCGATGTTATTGAATGAGGAGAGTGATGGGAGGCGTGAATGGCGAGAAACGAAGCAAGCTTTATACACATTTTGCATGGTTGACTAGATCGGCCAGGTGGGCTTCCCGCGCCTGCTCGACATTGAAGTCGGCATGATAATCAGAATTTCCTATTTGGATAATGGAGCCAGACACAGGCGGGGGGTTCATCTCGTCTGCCCGTCGTCTCGCCATGGTGACACCCAAGGCGCACGAAAGCAGCTATGTCTGTAGCATGGCGTACCCAGACGGAGCCTCCAATAAGTGAGGAGGCACACTTTCTGAGACGGCTTTTGCACCTCGATTGTGGCATATTGATTGAAGACCTTGGTTTCGCTTGATCTTCAAAGCTCTTCAGGGACTCGGGGCAGGCCGAGGGTCGTAGGTTCAGATGCAGCATCAACAGCGGGCTGTTTGGCCTAGGCCGAATCGAGAAATTTTGATATGGTCATCACGGTTGGCTCCAGTGGGGCGTGAGACAGAGGTCCGATGTGAGCGCAGGGGGTGGTTTCATCCCCACCCTGTCTCACGCCCCATCTTGTGGGAGCAGTCGCACAGTGCTAGCTGCTTGATCAGCCAAGCTTGTGCTACGCATCAGCCCATGTAGCCAACGCGCAAGTTTGCGCTGCGACACGGGGGTACGTAGTGGTTTGATGCCACTCCGCCAATATTGACGCGACTCGGTGTGCTATAGGTACTTCTTGTCGTCGGCAAGTTGGCGGAAGATAAAGTTACTCTTTTCTCCCAGGCCGCTTGGGGACACTGACACGGGTGCGATTGTCGTGGTGGGGCATTCGAGCCTGTTCCGCTTCAGTGCTATTGCAAGACTGGTGGAGCAAGTTGATGAACCCCATCTAAAACAGGACTTGGACAAATTCAAGAGCTGACGTCGCGACAGCGCGATCTCAGCCCAGCAACGCGGCGAACAACACCTCAGACGTCCCGGACACCTTCCTGCCCGCTCTTTTCTTATGCCCATTCATTTCAGTGAATTAGGTCAAGAATCGACACTCGCCAATCGCCTCGACGCCTGACAATGACGAAGGGCATCTTTCGCATCTTCAACCCCGCAGGTTGGTGAACTTGGCTTCTGCGAACTTCTGTAACTATACTCTGACGCGGAAGCAACTCATTGAACAGCGCCAAAGGAAGACCCCGTTGACAAGCGGCGAGATCAGCTGCGCCGGGCTCAAAAGCAAGTTATCAAACGCGTCTGCCACCTCTGACCACGAAGTCTGACCGTGCCGCCAGATCGTACCGTGACCGCCGCGTCTGGTACACGCGATGCCTGGAGAAGGACCTTCAGCGAACGCGTGCCAGGGAAGCTAAACTGCTGCAGGAGTGCGAACACCTTCGGGTCACCGTTCGCAATGTGTTGAGCGTGCTCGATGAGCTCGGTGTGGAGCTTCCCAGTGACCCGAGGATCGCGAACACCACCCAATCCCTACCAGTCCATGGAAGCGGCGACGACTCACCTCGGTCGCCGGAACGGCTTCCTATTCCTTTGATGACGGGAATCCATTCAAATAGCGAGGCAAGCACCCCGTTCGGCGGGGACAGATACCCGGCCAGCACCTTATCATCGACGCCCCTGAAGCCGCCAACCCCGCTTGCCGGTCAACCACTGGAAGGCCCTCCTGTGGCTGCCGAGAGATGGCCGACACCACAAGACCTGTCTCAAGCGTCCATCTCGCCCGATGACCGAGCGTGTTTGGGCGATCTAGACGTTGTGACTTTAGGAATGGAGTTTGTGTTGAAGTATGGCACGCTTGCCTGGAGGAAACACCCATTGTCGTTTGTCCGCCAGATGACTTACATATGAGAACAGGATCGAGGAGCCATGTCTGGGCCACATCCACGGCAATCTCGCAAAGTCCGATGAGCCGAACGGCCATGCGCTTACAACCTCCGCGCAACTGCTGGCGAGTTCCCACGCTCCTACCTACACGCCGGGCGCTGCGCTTCTGGCGCCCTTGCCGTATCACGTTGCCCCCGTGGCACTTTTGGAACGCCTTCTGAGCCTTGCGCCGGATTTGTCTACCTATGGAGAGGTAACGCCCATTCAGGCATGGAATCGGATCAGGTACCGCCCGGACTTCCAAGGTCTCGATGTGCACGTTATATACACCTTGGCGGACAAGCTGAAGGAGGCAGCTAAATGCCACGGGTAAGGACACAGACCCTGCTTGCTACCCATGTCAGAAGGGAGGCCCCTAACATTGCGCCAGTTTTGGTGCCGTTGTCCAGCAGACTGTCCTTGAGAGCTTGATCTGCGAGACGCTTATTCCGCGAAGATTTGGTCGAAGTCGGACGAAAAGGGCAGCTAGGGAAGCTAGACGGCAGTAGCGATAACGGAGGGGCAGGTGCCCCTTTCGAGGGAAGACTGGTAGTCTACGCGTTAGCGGCAAGCGTACTAGTACTTACGAGCGAGACGGTACTTAAGGACGAGACGGGCGCGGAAAACATCGCGGTAGGGGAGTCGGATAGTAAGGTAAAGTACGCTCTTTAGCTTTAAGGCTAGCCTTTAAACCTAGGTTTAAGCATTAGCTAGTATAATAAGTATATAATAGCTATAAGATAGCTATAGCGGGGAAGCTATAATTATAATAAGTTAGTACCTAAAAAAAGTAGCCTTATAATATACCTTAAGTTTAAATAGATTAGACCGCTATTTATATATTATAATAATAAAATAAAGTACACTCTTTAGCTTTAAGGCTAGCCTTTAAACTTAAGTTTAAGTATTAATTAATATAATAAATATATAATAGCTATAAGATAGCTATAATAAGGAAGCTATAATTATAATAAGTTAATACTTAAAAAAAGTAGCTTTATAATATACCTTAAGTTTAAATAAGTTATATTATTATTTATATACTATAATATACTTAGCTTACTTTATTTTAAGTAATATTATTTATAAAGGATAAAAACCCTTATTATATAAGTATTTTATATCTTTTTAGGTATATACCCTACCCTTATATTATACTAGTTATTTTTAGTAAATAAATATAAAATAATAATAATATATTAAAATATATCTTAAAATCTTAATTAAATTATATTTTTATAATATAGCTACTATATTATAAGGCTAGTAAAGTATTAATAAAGCTTATTTTACTTAAAAAATATATTTCTATACTTTCCTTTTAATATTATTATATTTAAATATATATTATTTTATTTTAGATCTCTTTATCGAGCTAATAATACTTATAATAATACCCTTATTATTATTAATTATATTTATAGCCTTAATCTTATTAGCTATAGCGTTAATAAAGCTTAATTTACTTAAAAAATATATTTCTATTATTTCCTTATAATATTATAATATTAAGGGTATATTCTTTTAGTTTAAGTCTCTTTATTAAGTACCTTAACTATATTAAGCTTTAAGTATAATTATAATTATAATTATATAGCTAAGATAACTATATCTTATAAAGCTAAAATAAATATAATTAATAATATTATTAAAGTTATAATAGTTAACTAGACTTAAAGCCTTAATAATTATATAATACTTATATAATAGCTAGCTCGTTAAAGTATACCTTTAATAAGTCGCTAGTAAAATACTATATAAACCTTTAAGCTTTAATCTCTAACTTATAGTAATAATAATAATAGTTACTAAACTATATAGCTATTACCTCTCTTACTTAATTAATCTATAAAACCTATTATTATTATAATTCTTAAATCTTTTTCTATAATTACCTAAAAGTAATAATAGCGCTATTAAGACTATATAAAGGTATTAATATATTATTAAGAAATAACTTACTTAAAGAGTTAATAAATAACTTAACTTAAATCTTAAGTATACCTTTAATTAATTAAGATCTTACCTTAAGGGATATCCTTATCGAAGAATAAGCTTAAATAGTCTAAGCTTATATTAAATAGCTTAAAGAGCTTTAAGCTTTTTAAATAAGAGAAAAGGAATTATATAAATCTCTTACTTAAATAAGCTATATTAATATTATATTATAAAAATAAAGGTAAAGTACTTTTAATTTATTAAATAATAATAATAAAAATACTAAAATAAAGGTTATAAACTTCTTAAAATTAAAGTATTTAATTAATTTATAGTAATAATAAGATTAATTATAAGATATTAAATAAGTATTTATAAAGGTATTATATAAGTATTATAAAGATAAAAAGAAGATTATCTTTAGGGTTAGGGTTAGGGTTAGGGTTAGGGTTAGGGTTAGGGTTAGGGTTAGGGTTAGGGTTAGGGTTAGGGTTAGGGTTAGGGTTAGGGTTAGGG